TGGCTTTCAAGTTTTTCTTGCTCTTGAAATAATGAAAGTATGAATGGTAGGAAATACAAATACATGATATAGAGAATAAATACTCCAAAAGCCTCACAAGTCCTCATAAAGTTATCTTAATACAAAATTATTAACTGGGCTTCTGGGTTCCTTGGACTTGCAGGCATTTTTCCCAAGGGCCAATTTCTTTGAGGCGGGGCTTGGGAAATCTCACTCCAGAAGATCCTCTCTTACAAAACAATGCTCCCACCCTGACTTTGTGTCAAGCTCTAGAAAATGGCAGTGGAAGGATATTTTCCCAGATCCTTTTCCCCATTGGAAGCAAGGCCCTTTTCAACTGTGATGTTTACACAATGATGACATTTACAGTCCATATTGCTTAGGTACAGTGAATACTCACATCCTTTGTGTCCCTGAGAGCACTGGCCACAATACACAGCACTGGGAACACACTCAGTAAATCACAATCTGCAGTGTAGAGCAGATGCTCAGCAAATACTCAGTGACCAAGAAGATCAATGTAAAGTGAATGTGAATTAACAAGGAAGCACACGTTTGTACCAGGAGTTTTTTAACTTTATGGTCAACTTCTTGACACCATAGGTCATGCCTCCAAATCTGACCAGAACAGTGCAGCTTTATGAGTTTTCTATCTGTGCTTTGAGATCAGCTAGTCTGGTGTGTTGTGCTAGTAGGTGACCAAACAAGTTGAATGGACTGAGTTTGTGGATAAAACGAGAATAACACTTCGGCTTCATAACTTTTGAATGCTGTTGGAGTATCAATACTGCTGAAGCCTAGTTTAATCCACATAGAATAGTCACATAGTGCTCTTCAGTAGAGTCTTAGAAAATGGATACATTTTAGTGAAAATCTTCTAAAAATAAGCAATCAAAGAAGCCCTAAAAGCCTTTGACTGACAAGGCAGAATCAAGAAAAGGATTGAAATTAAGATGTGCTAGCCAGGAAAATGAATGGTGGTTAGACTCTTTAGCTGCATGTCAGCAAGATGGCTCCTAATCTTTACTTTCCATGCTCAGGGGGCTCAACGAAGTCTCCTTTAGTCTCCTGGAATGAAACATAAGCACGTTGAACTAGGAAGAAGGAATGATGCAGGGACACATCAGTTTGGAAATACATGTCTCTTAACTGTGCTCTTGAGTTAGAAGGTTGAAATGCCATCAGGGTTTTATATTATTTCAGCTACCCTTAGAACAGACAACAGTTTTTGATAAATACAGATCAGCTGGGATTGCAAAACTTTTGAATGCAGCCTGGAAGTCGTTCTGGGATTGTAGGTTCTCTCAAGTGGTTGAACTAGGAACAATGAAAACTTTGTCTTTCTTTTTCTTTCTTTCTTTCTTTCTTTCTTTCTTTCTTTCTTTCTTTCTTTCTTTCTTTGGAGAGGAGATAGTTTAAACTCTTACTTAGCGTCTACACTAGGATAGTGAACTATAAATAATCCAGACAACTTGAGTCTGCTGCTGTGCTTGAATGTTTTTATGGTCCCATTTCCACTATGATAAATACGATCATTCTCTCACTTGGATGCGTATGCGCTTTTGTGTATGGATAGGTGCAATCTCCACTGAACAGAGGTTGATAGATAAAGAATTGATAAAACAAGAATCTCACTAACTTATGCTCCACCAATTTTGAGTTTTTGATAATTTGGATAGGGACCAAGCAAAAGTTTCCTTTAGTATTATCCATAACGACAGTGTTTACTGAGCAAGTAAATAACATCGATAAGATTCAGGAAGAGTATTTAACTATGTAGGAGAAAACATAGCTTCCCATTAATTTTGGACACATGCTTTCTGATGCAAATATCTGTAGTGCTAAGTGCTAACCTAACCTATTCATTAATTTGGATTGGTCTCCTATAGAGTTATTCAGAAATTTTTAATTTTGAGTGATTAAGTACATCTGATCCTTCCTCACTGGTTTCGAGTTACAGGGACCTAGCTCAAATTATGTGGACCCCGTGGTCAAAGCTAGCTATAGGAACCTCTCTAGCCTACATACAATGGGCAGGAAATTTTTAGACTTAACTTTTGTCAGTGAGCCCAATACTGTAGCGTGTTGATTGTGGTGTTAGTCGAATGCTAGTTACTAATAGAACTTCTTTGGAGTCACTAGTGTGTATTGTGGAGGGCTAAGCATGGAAGAAGCAGGTGGGGGTGGGAGGAAAAGCACACTGATCTCTGATACCTCATAACCTAAGGTCTCGACTTGGCCTAAAGGAAAATATTTGTCAGGAGAATCACTAAACCTTGTATTTTTTTTTTAGCATATTTTATGCTGTGGTCAATACCAGTGGGCATATACTGATTAGGAGGATCCATTCAGTTTTAGAGAGCAGTGTTCATTACCAACAGATGATGTCTTGGTTGTTAGCAGCACTATATCTGAAGTCCATTTTAATGCCATCTTAGAACATTTAGGGTTTGGGGGAATGGTTTCTTCTCTTAGTACTCAAGAATTTGTCCTTGCCTTGAACACAAGCTCATAAGCTTAGTGAATGTTTACATAGGATGTTCGAGACATTTTTGGAAAGCTGGGACATTTGGCTGTATTTTTTGACCGTTTGTAGTTGATACAGGATGACCAGCAGAATTATCCATAGTGGGGCTTTTTTAATTGACATTTTCCTGTCTTATTTTAGAGCACTTGGTGATAGGTTAAGTTTTCAGTTCTACTGTAACTTCTTCCATGGAGGTTGTGGAGATCTTTGTGCACCGTCCTGGTGTTGTTCCTCACAACCCAATGGGAATGTCTCTTTCCTTACATCAGTGATTTGCTGTCCGACTGTCGCCTTTTACTTACCTTCTGCTAGGGTGATGTTACGGACCCTACAGAGTACTGAGCAGAATCTCCAGGGATATTTGGCTTGTTGCAAAGCAGACAGTATGTGCTTAGAAGTGTTAATATGTAGGGGCGCCTGGGTGGCGCAGTCGGTTAAGCGTCCGACTTCAGCCAGGTCACGATCTCGCGGTCCGGGAGTTCGAGCCCCGCGTCGGGCTCTGGGCTGATGGCTCAGAGCCTGGAGCCTGTTTCCGATTCTGTGTCTCCCTCTCTCTCTGCCCCTCCCCTGTTCATGCTCTGTCTCTCTCTGTCCCAAAAATAAATAAACGTCGAAAAAAAAAATTAAAAAAAAAAAAAAAGAAGAAGTGTTAATATGTAAAGAATTGGGGTTATAGATTTATAACTTTGTGAAACTAATTAAAAGGAGCTAAGATGCTTTCATGAGTGATGTGTTTGTAAAACCTCAGAATTTGTTTGGGGAGTTCTTGGACTGAAGTTCAAAATGGATGGCTGTGAAGTTCTCAAGCCAAAAATGACCTGAGTCAGGTAAACTTGGTACACCTAATTTGTTGAAATACCTATCTCATTTGTGGTTTAGTAGGCAAGGCACCTGGGGAGTAGAGAAATGGGATTATTTCAAAAATTAAACCAATTTAGCTTGTGTGAAATGCATGGCAGGCATTTCATGTCAGTTGCAACAGGTGATTAATTGGAGGAGAGTGTGGAAGCAATTCTAGCCAATCAGAAGGACAGTGTTAGACTGTGATTATAAAAATGGTTACTTTTTACAGTCTTAATTTCCATGTAGTCTGGAACACAAACAGATCTCACAATCACTTGTCCAGGTCCTATATTTAACCCTGGATGAAAATGCCTTGTATCTGTCCATGGATGGACAGATAGTCCTAAAGGTGTCCAGATAGTATTTTGTGGAAAAGAGCATATAAGACCGAAAGCCTACTAGAAGTTGTTGCATGTGATTTTTCCATTGCCTGTATTGGCGACCCAGTTATACTGCAAGGTCTCATGACAGTTCTCCTCAGCGCAGCTGACCTAGAGAATCTACTCGTGATTCCACTTTAGACAGGGAATATGAACATAATTGCAGGTATGAGGAAAACAAGACTAATGACCCAGAAGATGGTGTTGTTTAGTGCATAATTCACCCATGTTGAGCATTACCACTTTTTCTCTAGGCCGTATGATGACGCATTAAGAAATAGAAGTAAAAAATGTTAATTGGGACTGAGTAAGAAATTTATGTGTGTTAATAACAGACCCTTAATGCTGACTTGGTTTTACCCTTGGTATAATGGCCAAAAGGGCACCAGACTATTGGTTTCTTAACTTTTTTAGCCTGGGGCATTCTTCACTCTGTATGGATTATACCAACCTTGAAACTTTAGGCATACCTCCAGAATAACAGTGAAACCAACACTGGAGCCAATGGGAAACTTTCCATTCATCATATCCTGTTTCTTGTAAATTGTTTATACTACCTGCATTTGTTTGTTCAATAGTAAAGCATAGTAAACACAGTCTTGAACTTGGTCTCAGTCATTGTTTTAACCACCTTTCAAAATTGTAATGAGTTTTTTATGTTCTTGTTCAGCATGGCTTTGAATTTTCAATTACCCCACACTTACCAGAAGAATCAGGATTGCTTAGAGTATACCAGGTCATCTTGGCTTGTTGGGGCTGGAGACATTTGCTTTAAGCAGTGATAGGTTAGACCCTCCCACATGGGATATAATGTGTGGACTTCACATTATGCCATGTGAAAGAAAGGAGCATAACTGGATTTGGAAAGAGGTAGATTGACTTACATTTAGTGGCCTGTGTATGAAGTCCTCTAGATTTCTGGACATTAAGAGTTATTCATCTATTATTGGTTTGAGGGCCGCCTAGTGCCTCCACTCTCTTATTCACTTATTATGGTTGCCCTGTAGGGTCATTCTATGACAGGAGGATTAGCACATTATATGCATACACTTGAGACACTGTTCATTATGCTCTTTAGCTATTTACTGAAAGTCTTCCAAGTGTTTAATGGTTTCAGTTTAAGCGGGGAAATTAATCAGAATGGAATCTAGTATTGTAGTGTAAAGATTTAGTGTATGGGAGTAGAATTTGAGTTCTATCCAAGCATTTTCTCTGATAGCTTAAATGATTTTTCTTGATTTTTTTTCCAGTAACTGCCTTGCCATGGAAATCAAGATTCTTCCCTCATGGTAACCATGGACAGCTCTTAAAGGGTATTGGTTTTATTACCAAATAGCTGGACATCCAGAACCTGAAGAGGCTCTAGTATAAAACCAACACTAGAAATAAGGCCATCCTTATAGAAAACTAAAGAATCATTGCTTTGGTGTTGTCTTCAGAAGTGAGCTTGCAAAACAAATTGGAACTTCAAGATTGTCAATAATTAAAGATACCTGTATTTTATTTGTAAAGTATGGCTACTCTAATGGCACACGGTTTTGTCCATATATGGAGCAAGAATACGGGGATGTCTAAGCCCAAAGAAGCATACATTGGAAAAGTGGAAAAAAAGAAGAATATTAGACTGCTGGTCTATTTCAGCACTGGAGAATCTACAACTTTTCAACTAACTAATAATATTAAAAGTGTGGTGCTTAGATCCTATGGAAGAAAACAAAATCACCTGCATTTAACTTTCCAAAATAATAGCTTCTTGTTTATTGAAGGATTATCTTCTGCAGATGCTGAAGAGTTGAAGATGTTCTTGGATGGATTCTCTCAAAATAATCAACCATCCATGAAACCTGTTAAGGATGGAGGGATCTTTGCCCGCACAACAACACAGAAGGAAATCAACAAAAGTTCATCTCACGAAATATGTAGTAAGTCAAGTAGTGGATCTTCAGAGACAGGAGAAGGACATGGAACAGCCGATCTTCAGCAGAAGCCTTTGTGTGCATCAAAGTCATCAACACTTACTTGCAATGATTTACCAGAAAATGGACAGGAGAAGAGAAAAAGAATGTTATCATCTGGTTCAGGGATGGGTGGGAAATTCCTGCAAAAGAATAGCTCTGTAAGAGAGAAGAAATCCGAGACAGATCTCTTGACGTATGTAAGCCACAATAGGAAGAAAAAATTGAGGTTAAAAAATAAGAAGAAATTAGCATTTGAACACTTATTCAAGACCGATTCTGCTGGAAACCCTTACCTTCAGGGTGTTAGTGTTCTTCAGGTGCTTTGTGAGAAAATATATTTGGCATTTCTGTTGGAAGCAAAGTATAGTGCAGATAAGCCAGAGTGGGACAGACTCAAGATGACCCTTGACTTGTACCCAGAGAAACTATTGCAAGGCCTCCCCAATTTGGGAAACACCTGTTACATGAACGCAGTTTTACAGTCCTTATTTTCGATTCCGTCTTTTGCTGATGATTTATTCAGTAAGGCTTCCCCATGGGGTAAAATTCCCCTTGATGCTCTTAGCGTATGTTTAGCACAGCTGTTTGTTTTGAAAGATACTTATAACATAAAAATCAAGGAGACGTTACTTGTGAACCTTAAAAAAACCATATCATCAGTTGCAGAGATTTTCTCTGACAACGTACAAAACGATGCTCATGAGTTTTTAGGTCACTGTTTAGATCATATGAAAGAGAACATGGGGAAATTAAACACCATATGGAAGGCTAAAATTGAATCTGAAGAGGAGAATCCAGCTCAACAGATCTTTCCTGAAAGTGCAGCCACTGAAGTGCTCATTTGTCCCGTCATCAATAATTTTGAGTTTGAGTTGCTGCGCTCTATTACTTGTCAAGCCTGTGGTCATGTTGTTCTCAAGACCGAGGTGAATAATTATCTCTCCATCAACCTTCCACAAGGAACGAAATCACTTCCTTTGTCTATTCAGTCTGCTTTTGATCACTTCTTTGGAGCGGAAGAGCTTGAATATAAATGTGGGAAATGTAAGCATAAGAGTTCTGTTGCAGTGCACAAATTTAGTAGGCTACCCAGGGTTCTTATTGTTCATCTGAAACGTTATACCTTTGACGAGTTTTGGTCGCTAAGGAAGGATGACCGGGAAGTCGTTATTTCCACACATTTAGATATATCATCTCATTGCAATGAAACTACCAAGCCACCTCCTCCTGTGAGCAAGAATGTGCTTACTAGGGATTTCCAAATCCTAAAAGTCTTTCACAGCATAAAATTTGGAAACTTCTTTCTATTAACACCTTCAACAAAGCCAACCTTGGCATCCAATGATTCTCTGATTCCACACATTGGACCAGACAAAGAGTCTGAACCACAAAAATGCCAGATTCTTTGTGAAGGATCAAATGGAGAACAGAAAGAAGACCTGGGAAAATGTCCTAAACCGAATATAACTGAGTCTGAATTAGTAAACTTAGGAAATAGAGCAGTCACTGAAAAAGAGCTATTAGCTGCTGGCTTAATGATGGATCTTGAAGCAACGTCCCTTTCTCAGATCCAGAAAGATGAAGGTAAACCCACCAGTGGTCCAGACAGGTGTCTTGCCGAAGTTTATCTTCAAGAAATGTTTGAAAATCTAAAACAAAAGAAATATGAGACAACTAATACGCTTGTAGATTTCAAGAGTGGCACTGAGACTATTGAAGATACTTATAAACGTGAAAAAAACGGAATTCCAAAAGAATGCCAAAAACCGACTAAACAGACCCAGCATGATGAATGGATGAAAATCTATGAACAAGCCCTGCGGCAGGCACTGCTTGGAGCCCTCTTGAAGACACGTACCCGCTGGTATGCAAAGAACCTCAGAAAACCTGCAGAATTACGTCCCCAGGAGGCCAAAGCAAATTCCCTAGGGGCACCGGGTTCCAATAAAAACCCTGGAAACAAAGACTGTTTAAATAAGGAGAAGTCAGAAACTGAAGCCACAAAACCAAAAAGAAGTGGTAAGATGAGTGATCTCAATTCCTATCGGCTCATTGCTGTTGTCAGCCATCTTGGGAAGACCCCAAATTCAGGCCATTATATCAGCGATGCCTATGACTTTGAGAGGCAAGCGTGGTTCACTTACAATGATCTACAGGTATTGAGTATCGAAGAAGATCTCATGCAGGAGGCTAGGCTTTGCACCGGGTACATCTTCTTTTATATGCACAATGATGTTTTTGAAGAGCTGTTGAAAAGGGAAGAGAACTTCCAGTCTCGTAACACAAAGGCAGGGAAGACCGCTCAGAAGTAAGTGGAACAGGCTCCTGGTTGCACACATCTGCTTGACTACCTCATTGGTTACCACTTCCTCTATGAAAGGAAAACTCCACTCTAGCCAAAGATGAAGAGGCAGATGGCATCCAGGGTCAGAATTTATGCAGAAACACTTGGGGAAAATCTCTATTCTAACCCTAATACAGATAGGTCAATCCCACAGTTCAGCGATAAGTATTCCTTTCTATTAGACTAGAATTGTGTTCTCCATATTCTGGTGCAGTGGATTTTAAGTGCAGTCTTTAAATCAGCAGCATCAGGATCGTGGAGAAACTTCTGAGAAATGCAAATTCTTGGGTCCCACCACATAAATGCCAATTCAGCAACTCTGATGGGGGGTGTCAGGGTTGTTGGGGGTAGGGAACAGTAATTTGATGGAAATTCCATCAGATGCTTGAGAAATTTAGAGAACTACTGTTCTCTACCACCACATAACTGCTAGTTCAGCAACTCTGACGGGGAGTGTCAGGGTTGTTGGGGGTAGGTAACAGCAATTTGATGGAGATTCCATCAGATGCTTGAGAAATTTAGAGAACTACAGTAGTGTGTTAGGTATCTTGGTGGATTTTGCTGTTGTATATTTAGTTACATTTCTAAAGGAGTTTGATTACAGTTTTTGTTTCTTATATTCACATATGCCTTTCCTTCAGAAACTTATTAAAAACAAAAAACACACAGAGAAATCACTCTTCTGCCGATCATACTTAGTGATTTGACTTAAAAAAAAAGTTTCTGGAGTCCTGACCAAAAACAAAACGAAACAAAAACACACACAAAAAAACACAAAATAAAAACAAAACAAAACAAAAAAACAATTGCTGAGGTTTTGGCAATAAAAAAAAAATAGTTGCTATGGTCCTGTCAATAAATAGTAAATGAATCTGGTAATTTATGAATCATCTTGGGCATATGCAAATGAGACTATAACACCAGGTCAAGTCTCCAAATTGTTTGCTAGACTCCTTTTGCTCAGTATCAAAAGGGTTATATACTCTCAAGCTTAAGGATGGAGAATTTATTTGCCCTCAAGAAATTGACCCACTTTTCCTATTTGCTAGCCAGCTGTTCTTGGTGTCATTTTAGTCTTCTCCAAGAGGCACTTGATTTGCCTCAAAGGAACATTGATTTGCCAGAACTTTATCTGAAGCCTTGAACAGTCCTCTGCATTCAATATTATAAGACTAATTCCAGATTTCTTTTATTCCTCCATATCTTATAGCAGTGGTGACCTTATTCCTTCAAGGAATAAACACACAATGCACACTTTAGAGTGGACCTATAGGATTTGAAAGTGTTACTTGTCACCGATTTTGTATAATGTTATAAAACTTAAACCTATTTGAGGTGCCTTTGAGGCAGGTACAGTAACACCTTGTACCTTTGTTAGGAACAAATTACTTACACTAAAAGGCTTTCTCACATCACATGAAGGGACTGAATTTTTGGTTCCACCTTTACCAACATGGGTGTCCCTCCTTGTTTCTAGGGGGTGGGCTCGGTATGGCTATATTAATCCAACAGTTTGTTGGTACTTTAAATCCCAGAGGCCTTTAAAGAGGTGAGTTGGAGTGTAGTGGTGTGGGGAAGTTAGAAAATGCCCTTTAAGGGGAAAACCAGATTCGAAAGTTAGGGAATTCTATTGCTCACAGCACAGTGCATCTAGGAGGAGGTCTGAATGAGACTTGGAGATTGCAAGGTAGATGGAGGCAGTTTGTTTATTCAAGTTGTGTAGTACTTCAGCAGCTGTGGTGGTTGAAGGATGAGGCTGGAGTTACCTTTAGAGGAGGGGAGGGACAGTTCGGTCACACAATTCCAGGCTTTTGACCTCTCTAGAATAGTTAAGTGTGAGCTCAGTTACATAGGCATCAAAGCAAGAGTTTTGGTAGGAGTGAGAGAAAAGTTATTTTGTTTTTAAAGGAGAATGAAGATGCCAGTAGCTTTGAGATTTAGAAATGTCTGGTGTGGAGTATAGAATATTATAATCCTGAATATGCTGCTCTTCAGCATGGAGCACTTCCAAAATGCAGGCTAAACTAAAAGGTGAAGAAGATGGTTGGGATATCCAGGATGGGGAGGGTCTGTCCTCCTAGACAGATGGCTTGGGTGGAACCCTTCATTGCCCTGTGAGAAAAAATTTGAGGTGCACAGTGAGCAGCTGCATACCATCTGTGTGTTACACTGTTATTTAAATAAAAGATTAAAATAATTCTTAGGTGACTCAGTGGCTGTTATTTATTAATGGGTTTTAATTAATTCTCTAATTTACACATCAGATTTCTCAGTAATCAATGGATATAAAAACTTTCTTTGACAGAGTATTAGTTTTCTATTGCTCCTGGAACAAATTACCACAAACCTAATGGCGTACAACAACATGACCTTATTATCTTACGGTTCTGGAGGTCAGGAGCCCAAGATGGGTATCACTGGGCTCAAATCAAGATGCTGACAGGGCTACAGTCCTTCTGGATGCTCTGAAGGGACAGTCTGTTTCCTCGTCTTTCCCAACTGCTGGGGGCTTCCCCACATTCTTTGACTCATGGCTTCAGCCAGTGATGTGCCAGCGATGTGAGGCTGAATCCCCATACTGCCATCTCTGACTCTTCCCTCCACTGCCTTCCTCTTCCACTTTTAAGAGTTATGGTGAGGCTAAGCATGACCAGATAATCGAGTACAATCCCCTACCTTAAGGTCAGCTGATTAGCAACCTTAATTTCCACTTGTTTTGTAATAATAGATTGACCGGTTCCAGGAGTTAGGATATGAACATCTTTGTGGGACCTTTACTCTTCCTACTAATAGTAAAGTTAGCGGAAAACTATTTTGTCACAGCAACAAAAGAAGCAGACTGATTTAGGACTCAAACACTTGGGAAATGGTTTTGGTCACTCCACCAGGTAAAGAACCCAAAGCACCTAAGATTTTGGCTGAGGCCGAGGGAAACTTGGTAACTGAGGAACTAACACCTTGAGACCAATTACATAAACAAGGGCTACAGTGGCTTTGCACATTTTCTTTATTATATGTATGTGTCTATTTGTCTATACTCACCATTCCCTTTTTCTTTATCCTGCTTCATCTATTTTATGCCCAAGTTACTGGAGATAAACTTTACAGTTTAGTTTTTAGGTAATAGAATATTTGATGGGTGCCTGGCTTTGAGGAATAATTAATGAAGCCCATGATGGGTACCAATGACTTGGGGGCTCTGAGTCGTCTAATTTGGGAGAACAGTGAAAACATATAGGAGGACTGGTATCTCTGGAAGGTGGAAATACCAGTGTTTTGCTGCTATAAGAGGTCAAACGTATGTAAAGGGGTGCATATGGAAGCTGGGTATCCCAAAGGGATGGGCTGTGCCACTTATCAACATCCTGCCTCTTAGCCCCAAATTTATCCTTCAGCACATGCTCTGCAGTAATGGACAGAATGCCTTTAAGGCATCTTATACTGAAAAAATGTTGAGCTTTTTAGTAGAGGGTGTGAGAGGTACATTGCAAGGGGAAGGGGCTCCCTTGCTGTTGCCAGTTGTTGAGGTGGGTTAGCAATGTGAGCTGTGATTTTGGGTATATCTGATGGTGCGCTAAACCAGCCCCAGAACCAGAATGTGTGGTCCCCTCATGACCTCAAAGCTCCAAACTGATCTGGTGATGACTTTCCCGGTGCCATCTCAACCTGGACACCATGAATTCTAGTGCTCTGGCCTGCACCCATGCCCTGATTCCCTTTGATCTTATGCCCTTCCCAGGTTTGTACTCCATGGCCCTTCTAACGTCCAGCCCTCTTGACAGGAATCCACAAACCCCAGGTGTCCTGCCACACCAGCACCCTTAGTCCTTCTGCATGACTGCACACCTGGCTGTTGGCAGTAGCCCTACTGGTGCCGGAAGGGTTACCACTGGGGACCCCACTCACTCTGCGTGCTCTTGCGTCCAGGAAGTGCCTGAGGCTTGTCTGTGTCCTGACTATTCCACTGTACTCCGGATGATTGCTTTCTGCTTGCCCTGTGACTGTGGACCATGTCTGGCTCAGGCTAACCAGCAAACTTACCTGCCATGCAGTGGGCCGCAATTGCATCAACGAGATCTGAACCCTAGCCCTGGAGATCAGGTCCCTTTCCAAAATCTGCCCTTTCTTGGATACTGTCCCTCAGCCCTAGGATACAATAGCGGTTTTTCTTATATCCTACAGTTAACTCTTATCATAGGTTAATAATTATTTATATTAAACTCTGTTTAAATAACTAGTTTCTATATTTTGATTAGATGCAGACTCCTACAGAGGCTGAGTGGTCAGATACTCTAGCTCTACCATTTCAATAAAATCCAAAGACCTTAATGTGAGATTCTCTGTTTTGATTTTATTTAGTGTTGCTTTTTGGTGCAAAGAAGGCTGAATAGAGAACCATAATACTCTGGTTGCTGGTGCAACTTCTGGGAAGAGGAGGCTAATATATCAAGAAAGCACCTCTTCTTTTAATGCTCCATCCGCTGTGTGCATAACAATAACAACTGATAGATGGTTTTATGGGGGGATTTCAATTCAGACAGATTCACGTGTGTCAATGACAAGGGACCTTGGGCGAGAAGAGCACTCTCTAGTGTCTACATTCACCCTTTATCAACCTGGTTATATTTCTGCCCTCTGCATTGACCCCACTTAGTAAAAATATTTCACAAGAGAATTCTTAGCAAAGTAGGTCTCTGTAGCCTAGCAGAGTGGATTATTTCCCCCACTGAAAGTTTCTGTGTCTGGCAAGCAACAGTGAGACAGTGACCTCCAGGCAACCCTGGTCGCCACTTTGATTCAGTGGCAATGCAAAAGTGGTACAAGGAGACTCACATCTGGCGCCAGGTGCTGGGTGTCACAATGCTGGGCTGCAACAGCACCAGGTCCGTGCAGGACAAGGCCTTCCCTGTCTGCAAGGTGGAGTTCTAGCCCCAGCCCTGACCTGATGCTGACCCCCTCATCCCAGAATCTGCCACTGTCCTGAGATTAACCTGCATCAAGAGTTAACCAGGTACTCTGCTCAAAACAAAAAATCTGGGGGCACCTGGGTGGTTCAGTCAGTTGAGCATCTGACTTTGGCTCAGGTCACGATCTCACGTTTTGTGGGTTTGAGCCTCGCATCAGGCTCGCTGCTGTCAGCGCAGAACCTGCTTCGGATCCTCTGTCTCCCTCTCTCCCTGCTCCTCTCCTGCTCACACTCTCTCTCAAAAAATAAATACAATTTTTAAAAAATCTGAAAGTTTCATACTTCTCTTTTAAAGTTAATGTATTACCAATTCTGAATCTGTATGGAAGGCTGGCCACTTGGAAGCTCAGGCAGGCATCAGTGTTGCAGTCTGGAGTCTGAAATCCATAGGGCATGCTGGCAGACTGGAAACTGCTGTAATCTTGAGGCACAATTTCTTCTTTGGCAAACAGATTTGCTCTTAAAGCCTTCAACTGATTGGATGGGGTCCACCTGCATTATCAAGGGTAAGTTCCTTTACTTAAATTGATCATAAATGCTAGCCATGTCTCCAAAATGCCTTCACAGCACCACCTAGTTTGCTGTTTGATTAAATAACGGGACTACGGCCCACAACTCACACAAGTTGATACATAAAACCAAAAGTTACACGTGTTATGTGAGTCCACAGACTTGGTGTACCTGAGGAAAAGCATGAACAAAAAAGTCAGTTTTGTTAAAGTATACTATATTTTGTGTTATAATCCTAAATCGTTATAAGATAAAAGATCATTAGAAATAAAAATTCAATTGGACAGGCTTAAGAACAAAAAACCACAATTAGATATAAAAATTCAATTGGACAGGCTTAAGAACAAAAAACCACAAGGGGCGCCTGGCTGGCTCAGTCAGTGGAGCCTGTGATTCTTGATCTCGGTGGTTGTAAGTTCTGGCCTCAAATTGAGCATAGAGTTTACTTAAAATAAAAAACCAAAAACCCACTGCCTAAGGAAATTGTTCCTTAAGCCACTTAATAAAACTCTAACTCAGCTGTCTCTTCAGTTTCATCATTGCAAAAAGTATCATTGTTTTAACCGCTTTTGCAGCATAAAACTTGCTGCATAAAATTAAGCAAATTTCCAAGAATAGAGTATTTGCATCTGACAGACACTCCTAATTTCCCCATCTCTAATTCTGCTTCTGTGAGTCACCAACCCCTGGGGTCTCTGGAAGGTGCCTGTGCAGTTCTGTCTGCGATGTTAGCACCTGTAACATTCACAACCAGGGTTCTCAATGGAAATGCATACAGCTTTGCCTTTCCCACACATCACAAAGTTTCCTACCCCAGAAATGCAAAGTAGGTAGGTAGGTAGGTAGGTAGGTAGGTAGGTAGGTAGATGGATAGATAAAGGCAAGTGGCCACTGCTTTTGTGCTATGACTTAAGAAACATAAGGAATGCCAAAAATAAGCCTGTAAGCCAGAATTCAGCAAACTATGGTTTATGGGCTATGGCTTGCGATCTTTTTTTTTTTTTTTTTGTAAATATTATTGGAATACTAACCTATACATTTACATATGAAAGATTCATTTACATATTCTATAACTATAGTAGCCTGGTCTAGTAGCTGTGAAAAGTCCTGGAAAGCCTAAAATATTTACTGTCTTACCTTTTAACGAGAAAGCTTACTCTTCTGTAGGTTATCGTTCTACTAGTGCTTGAAATTCCCCATTAGGAAGACATCATTCGGGGACATTCTTATGGGTAAAGGAAAAAAGCCCTGCATAGAGAAAATACTCCAGGGTTCATAGGGTCAGATGCTTTTCTCTACCAATTTTTAGCCAAGGGCAGAAATGAACACGGTGACAGGAGGAGGGAGAGAGGAAGTCGGGGCATTGAGAGGTGTTGTAGGGCAGGAGATATGAGTAAAGGAGGGTGTGGTTATGAACACAATTTACCCACAGAGGCTATACCTGTGGAGAATAGGGAGCATGTTGGTGGCAGACATGTATAGATACCATGCCCTGTGATACCTGAGAAAGCCACGCCCAAACATGGAAGAATGGCATGAAGAACACTTTACTGAGACTTTGGATAAATACCAAAAGATAGAGAAAATGTTCCGGCTGAAGTGAATTCAACTAACTTCAGCAAGCATTAATCAAGTGCATCTATAGTAGAAGACAAAAGGTGGATGGGGGCTTCCAACCTTGAAATAATAGCATCAACTCTAGCTCCACCCTCTTCCTCAAACACTATATATC